TTGTGACCCAAGAACTTACTGCATCTTTTCACGCAGGTGTTGCACACAAAATGTAAAGTTTTCTAAACTTGGGAAATGAAAATGGGACTTTCTTCTATTTGCAAAAAAATAGGGTGATTTTAATATTTTCTTTAGACCAGTTGACTTTAATATTTTCTTTAATATTTTCTCTATGCACAATGAGAAACACAGGAACAGCTTTGCGGCTTCTCAAGGACAATAACTTTCAACAGAAGGAAAAGTTGGATAGGGAAATTCTCAACAATTTATATAATTCCTGTAAACCCCAAGTTTTCAGTATTTTCCTATTGATTTCTCATCTTCATTTTTGTGTATTTCTCTCTCTCCCCGGCGCACACACACACCGCAACTTAGTCATTGTAACAAACAGATATGGGAGTTTCCAAAAACAATAAATAGTCTTTTCTGGAAGATGTTAAAATAGAAGAGTTACAACTGAGAATGCTCAGTTATTTGTATTATGTTCTGCTGTGCAAATCACGGACTCAAAGACAGAATGCGGTGCCTCCTTCATGCAGGCGTGCAAGGTAAGGCTTCCTCCGCGGGCTTCTCGCTGAGGGTCACACGGTTTGGGGTCAGTCCACTACACCTGCTCTTCACATCAACGGCCACTCACTTCCATTAGCAGGAGAAAAATCCAGAGCTAACTCAAACCTATCTAATCATAAAATTGTGGCTCCGTTTTTTGTTTTCACCTTTCTTCTCCCGCTGTTTTTTCTATCAGCAGAACACTTAATAACCACTAATTGGTTAATCTGTTATTTAGGCAAGTATTAATATTCTCATTTTGCAGACGAGGAATCAGGCCTCCTGCTGCGTATCTCTAGGCGTTGGGTAAGGAGCTCTTCAGATGGGAGATTCAAAGTAGGTGAGCCCATCCTCTGGAGGATGAGACATTCGCCTGGAGCTGCTCAGCGGGGCCTCCCGGAGCCTCTGTTAGATCTCTGGGTTCCTGACTCCCACTTCTCCGCTCAGACCACCAGGCAACACTGCCTCTAATGACAAAAAAAAAAAAAAAAGGCCTTTTCCCATTCCACCAAAACTAATGCTCCAAGGACTTTCTTAATTGCAATGGATACCCTGGGATCCGGAAGCTTATTTGTGACTTGATGAGTCTGCACCAGTGTTGCCTGGATTTCTAGGTTTTGTAGCACTCAAAACTTTAGAACACTTTGTACTTTCAAAATTAACTCACGCTGCGAAACAGAGACAAAGCATTAACATACACACGTTACCATATATAAAATAACCACAAGGACCTACGGTATAGCCCAGGGAACTATACTTATACTCAATGTTTGTAATAACCTATAAGGGAAAGAATCTGAAAAAGAGTATACATATATGTATATGAAATATGTATATATATGTATATGAAATATATATATACATATAGCAAGTCAACTACACTTCAGTAATTAATTAATTAAAAAACGATTCCTCTGCAGAGAGATCATGGAATCTCTCAGGCTCAGAGAAGTTGGTGAAAAAAGAACTCAGGAGAGGCCCTCACCTCCTGACAGACCACTGACCATCTTCGACAAGCGTGGAGGGGATTTTATTTTTAAAGTCAAATATGTAGAACACTGTAAGAACTGTGTCATCTCGGGACACAGACCTGGATGAAAAAACAAATGGTGAACATAAATCCATAGGAAAGATCGTTTGTAGTATAACTTCTCTACCCACCCGATGAAAGCTGGCCTTTCTGGTGCAGAAATTATTCTGTTCCAAAACCATAGCTTTTCACAAAAAATTTAAAACTGGCAGATAATCTGCTTCAACACGCAAATTGCTAAGGTTTTCTTGAGGGAAGAAAGAAAAGGTTAATATGTGACCTATATTTCATATCAGAATTAGGAGAGACTTAGAAATCACTGTCATCGCAAACCGGAGCTGTGTTAAATGCGGCCAGAGCTTGGAACCCAAGATACCCTGCTTAACAGTCACCATAAAACCTCTGAGAAGAGAGCTCAGCTTATAAAGATGAAGCATTTCACTCCTTTCTGTTTCCAGAGATAATTTGTAAATAAACGGTACAGAGGCAGCCACCTGTTTCTTCCCCTAACAGAATATCTTTTAAAATGTGGCAGAGATCTAACAGGTGTCTAAACGGATCTGAGTCATTTCTGAGGTATTTGCTGTTGTCTAGTCGCTCAGTCGTGTCCGACTCTTTTGCAACCCATGGGCTCTGACCTGCCAGGATCTTCTGTCCATGGGATTCCTTGGGCAAGCATGCTGGAGTAGGTAGCCATTTGCTCCTCCAGGGATCTTCCAGACCCAGGGATCAAACCTGGGTCTCCCATACTGGCAGGCAGATGCTTTACCACTGAGCCACCTGGGAAGCCCTTCCTACGTATACGTTCCCTTCATTCACAGGGTATAGGCATTAACGGAAAAGATCTCATGGAGCATAATTACTCATCAAGTAGTATAGCTTGGCATCCCAAAATTCAAGGCAATTTAAAGATTTCCTGGCTATGTGCCTAGTACACAGATAGGGAATTCAAATGGAGAAGTTAACTTTAATCCAAGTAGATGACTACTTATAAACTACGATTTGAAAAGTTGAATAGGTGTTTATTTAATCCAGAAAGTATAATCTATCTAAGTGCTGTTGTTGGAAATTTCTTTATCATGTGTACATCTTTGGGAAAGATGGTACATGGATTTCATTTCCCACTGAAGTTGCCAAGAAAGTCTCAAATCCATTCCACTTTCAGGTTTTGTAGCTCAAAAAGCCAGTAACAGATCAAGGGGTCAAGATATAACAGAAAGTAGAAATATTGTTGAATAGCCAGACACATGGCTGAAAGAAAACCTGCCTATTTTTCAATATGCTCTGGGACTGGTATGGTTTTATGGTTCCTGTCCTCTGGGAGACACAATTTAGTACTGGAAACAATTTTAGAACAATAAGATCTAATACTCCTAAAAAGGGGCTTCTCAGGTGGTGCTAGTGGTAAAGAATCTGCCTGCCAATGCAGAAGACATGAGCCGCGGGTTCAATCCCTGGCTGGGAAGATCCCCAGGAGGAGGGCACGACAACCCTATCCAGTATTCTTGCCTGGAGAATCCCATAGACAGAGGAACTTGGCGGGCCATAGTCCATAGAGTCACAAAGAGTCGGAAACAACTGAAGTGACTTAGCACGCACACAGGCACTCCTAAAAAGTGCTAGAGAAGCTGCAAAGAGGCTGTTGCTGTGTTATCCAGTCATATCCAACTCCTGCAACCCCACAGACTGTAGCCTGCCAGGCTACATCGACCATAATCCCACAGCATGGAAAATCCAGACAACCAAAGCCAGGTAGGTCAATAATGCTTCCTTCCCCATCTTGCAATCCTCCTAGAAGTTATCTTATTTTATTTTTAGCATCATGGTACTACATTTGAAAAAAATGTTTAAAAGTTGAATGATTTTAATCACATATGATCCATGTTGTTGTTGCCCAGTCATTAAGTCATGTCTGACTCTTTGCAACCCCATGGACCGCAGCACAGGAATGGCCAACCACTCCAGTATTCTTGCCACAAGAATGCCACGAGCAAGATCCATAGCACTGCGTAATGCATATTGCCCCCTTTTGAAAAAGACCTAAAATACGTTGCCAGTGTTATCTCATTCATCTGTCCCAAACCCCTATATGAGGCAGGTAGCATAAATATTCATAACCCAGTTTTACAGATAAAGATGGAGTCAGAGAAGTGGGAAATGACTAGACCAAGGGCCTAGTGCTCATGCAGGGGTGCAGAAGTGTCAGTAGCTGCCCGTGACCCAAAGCCCCAAAGAATTACATGGGGCCTAGTCATCATCTGCCTACCAGCTTCCGTGCTACAATATACACAATCCCCTCCTCTGTCAGGGAGAGGGGAGGTGAGACAATGGGTCTAGCACACCTCTGCTTCTCTGAGAGCCTCAGAGAGTCACTCAAGTACCAAATACCATTGTGGGCTGGGTTTTATAGACAGGAGAAGCACCCTACTCTGCAAGGCTGAGCTCTAGACAGTTAGAAATTTCTTCAAGGTTATATTCAAAGGGATTTTTATGAAGGCATACTTTCATAATCTCATAACAGAAGCAGCTATAGCTAAACTCCACAGGGAAAGTGTGATGGGAATGGAAAGTTCCTCATGCTGCAGATTCTTAGCAACAGCGTTGTACCACTGCGAAGGGCGTTTCATGCCAGCAAGACCAGAGAATCGGATGTGATACATATCTGAACTCTCCTCCTCCACCCTTATCTCCATCAAATAATGGGAAATAACACGCTTTCTGACCTCATGATTCAACACCACTGTTGATGTTAATGCCGGCTTCAGGTTCCAACATGCCTGAAAGTTTGAATTCTGAGACTATGAAGCGATGTAAAAGGGTTTTGTGTTTTTTCATTTTTTTCTTTCAGATAAACTCAGCTCACCAAAAGACTTTGACTTTTTAGAAGGAAATGTGACTAAGATCTTTGCCAAATTCTACTCTAAAATTTTGGAACATCTAGGGAATAGAGGCTTTTCTTTCTTTATTTTTTTTCAGATTAATCTTATGGAAAAAAATATGAAACTGCACCATCTCATTCATTTTGTGTAAGATCATTTAAGCAAAGGGCTGTGCACTTTTCTGCTGCATCAAAGTGTCTATGGACTCATATTTCTTCTTCATCAATCTGCTTGTATTTCCAAATATTAACTGAGTCAAAGTTTATCAGACAAATTCCTGAATTACTTCACGTAATTTGTTTTCCACCTCTCTTCCAAAAGCTATGCCCAGAAACAATTTTTTCTTTCTTACGTGGTACCTTCGTTTCTTTAGGAAGACACTAAAATACATTTTCAAGTCCTATAAGGTATTAGAAGCATCAGTTATAATATGTTAGTAAATTAATTTTGAAGCTTTAAAACTGAGTATAAATACACCCACATGCATGCAGGCATGACGACATACACAGCATTTGCATTAAAATTTTTTCATGTATACTCACCTCAACAATGGCACCGCTAGGGAGCCTTAGAAAATGGCGGTATAGCTCTTGGAACCCACTGGGATAAACGGTGTACACAGCTACATGAGAAGTAATATCTCCTGGACCAAGTGCAGTCACAGAAATTTCATTGTGCTGTCGGAGGTCACAGCTGGAGATGCTGGACTGGACGCCATGCTTTTTCCAGATATAATCATACACTGCCACCTAGTGAGACACAGAGACCCCCCCCCAACCCCCCAGCCCCAGAAAAGAAGAGGAAAAAAAATTAATTAACTTCTGGCAAGAGCAGAACCAATTTTAAATGCATCTACAATAAATCTGAGAGTCTCTGCCATCTGCAATGCCTCTGCCTCCATTCCAGGCATATTTTTATGACATATATCTAAATAGTGAAGAAAGACAAATCCCCGGTGTGTGCTCCGTAAAGTTAATTCTACACAGATGAAGCTGTAATTGACTCCCATATTAACCCAAAGTAGGAAGATCAAGCAGGCTGCGACAATGACAGTGTTGATTAAAAAAAATGCTTACGAATGGTTTTATGAATGAGTATTTGTGCTTTTCCATCCAAGATAAATCTTTGCTCTTTTTTGTTTCTTTGTAGTAAGCTAAGTCTCTGGAATCACCAAAACAGGGGGCAAGATAATTTACTGAAGTGCACAGGGCAGGATTTTTGCATGTTTTGTTTACATACCACTTTTAGTTTGTGACAATTCCATTGTTTAAAGACAGCGTTCCTTGTGGGGCCTTCAGGAAAGTTAATTGAGCTGTGAATCAGTTCAAAAGATATTGCTCTATTGCTTGTCTAAAATGTTGGCAATGAAAGATTAGATTATACTGCTCCAGAAACTTTTTTGAGGCTGATAAACCTTCTTGTCTTCAGATTTCTTTGTCATCTTTTCCTGCAACTGCTGAGCCATAGAAAAATGCTTTCTAAAGTTTTCAGTTTCCCTATTCACATACTCCAGTCATTTCAGAGGTAAGTAAAGGAAAGTATTCAATTGATTTCTTTCTTCACTGGCTCCTTCTGAGGCAGAAAGCATTTATCTGTTGTGGCAGAAAGTTCATGTCAAACACGTTCCTCGAAGTTAACTCCTAAGATGATTTGCAAGTACTTTCAACACTCAAAAATATAGAAAGATTAAATAATATAAAGGAAAGTTCTGGCCAATTATTATTTAACTCAAGTCTCTAGTTGACAATAAACTCCCAGGATTCTAGCTGGTAAGCTTTTTCTTTGAAAATGAAAAAGTAACATTAAAATCTAGGTGAACAGGTAAAGAAGTGATAAATGTCTTAAAATAGATTGAATTAAAGAAAAGATTAAGGTTGGATACAATTAAAAACTGACATTTATTGAGGATCTATCTATGTTAGTTTTTTCAGAAAATATGGACAAGTTTCAGAAACTATCAGAAGTTCACAGTAAGAGACTGGTATACATTTAACTCAAAGCCAATTTAATTGTGATGAGTTCACAGAACGAAACTTACCAAGGAGGTGAGGCTTGTTTTGGGTCTCAAAACCTTACTGAGATTTCAAAATGTATGAAAAGGGCCTTGGGTGTGTCCAGCACTGAGATGCAAAATGCATGGTGGGCTCAAGGGCCAATTCATGGTCCAGTGGACTCGACTGAAGGGCACGGGTGAGAACCAGGATGTGAGGCTAGAAACATCATCTGCACTGTGAGGACACAGGATACCCTGCTAAGATATCCGTAATGTAATTCATAAAGAGGAGAAGGTTTTTTGAGTAGAAGACCGGTTTCATTTGACTTGTATTTTAGAGTAACAGAGCTAAAGGCAGAGTGACAGGTAGACCAGAAAGACGATAGTTTGGAGCTCATCTTACTAAAAGTAGATGAGGAGACCCTGCATTTGGGCAGTGGCAGTTGAATTGGAGACAGAGTCAAGGATTTGTTTTTCTGAAACAGAACCGTCAGAGTTCAGTTGCCACCTAGATGTGAGCTTTGAGCGATAGACGTCTCAAAGGTGACAATAAGCACAGGTACCACTAACCAGTGATGCTACTGCAATGGGCTGTGGCAAGCAGGCAGGACAGGTTTAGTGATAGCATTGACTGCATCTAAAGAACGCAGTTAATAAACTATGTCAAAGCCATAGTAGCAAGAATGGGAATATGAAACCACTTATATATTTATTTTTTAATCTGTGTGATCACCTGGTGGGCATGTTCAGCGACACTGCACATCCCCAGGTCAAATCAGGAGGTGGGTGGCCCCTCCCAGAGCCAGGATCACACCTGAAGCCTAAACCAGGAGCAGAACTGAAGCCTCCTGGCTACAAGTGCAGCTCCAGGGCAAGCATCACACACATCTCTGATATCTCCCAGGCTTAGGATGTAAGAGGATAGACTCTAGGCAAAACAGAGCAAAAGAAACGAGATGGGAATAAGCAGCACATCCTGGAGAAGTAGCAAGTTTCTGCTTATTGTACGAAGAACTCAGTGATACAGGAGTTAGCCAGGAGCCTTGCTGGATGGAAGTCTCTCTGTCCTGGAAATGCAGGAGGAAACACACCCACACTCCAGTGCTGGCAGCACCGGCATGCTACACGACTCTGAAGATGTCTGCAAGTGCCCAAAAAGGAGTAACTCTTGTTTTGGAAGCTGATTCCTTTTAGAACCTAAGTGACCTTGAAACTTTGGGTGGTAAACTGTGCAGAGCAGATTTTTAGAAATAGCTCTTATTGCTTTTGGTATGCACATCCTTCTTCCTCCTCTCCTTCTCAACCATCTCTAGTCGGAGGAAAGAGGAGTGAACTGCCTACTACCCAGAAACATCCCTCACTGATCTAGAGTCTAGGATGGGGATGGGTGGATAGACTAGAAAGGAAGGCCTTCCCTGGTGGCTCAGCAGTAAAGAATCCTCCTGCAATGCAGGAGACACTCCTTCGATCCCTGGGTCAGGAAGATCCCTTGGAGAAGTAAATGGAACCCTCTCCAGCATGGGAAATCCCATGGACAGAGGAGCCTGCTGGGCTACAGTTCCTTTTGGTCGAAAAGAGTCGGACGCAACTTAGCAACTAAACCACCACCACCCAGGCTAGAAAGTAAATCAGCATGATTGAGTGGGAAGCCTGGAGGTGGACAGTTCACACACACACACACCCTTGTTTGGTTACACTGCAACTCTGCCAGGTTGGTGTTATTATTCCTATTTTATAGCCAGGGAAACTGAGGTTCAGAAATATTAAGTAATGTGCCCAAAGACAGTTGTATAATGATATTATTTACTAGGAAATAATCCTGTTCCTCCACCTCTGATTTACCCACAAGCTTTTCTTATTCTCCTCCTTCGTGTTTTTGGAGCAAGAACTCAGAGTAGCTCCCTTGCCCCTTCTCTCTCATTTTTTTTTTTTTTTAATTTTTGTATCCAGGAAGCACCCACATCCTCTGCCTGTTCATAGTCAAGTCTTAACAAGAGCAGCCTCTTCTGAGCATGACTTTCCTTCCAGCTCCTGCCTTATGGGGTAATGAGTGACCAAGCCCACTTGGCTGCTAATCGAGACCTGCATCTTCCTAACAGCTTTAGTAGTCATGAGGCTGACATTTTTATTTCCTTTAGTCTGGTTCCTGTGTTTACTTAGTTTTTCTCAACTAGCTCAGGTGGGGAAAAGAGGCGTATATATCATAGTGGCCTCCTGGGACCACAAATTATCATGTAGCTCTGATATTTGAACCCAAATTGACCTGACCCTAAAGCCAATGTAACTGTTGATTATAGCACATGGTAACATGTTTGATTGCAGAGACCACTGTCTTTGTGTGTTAGTGTGTGGAATGGAACTGTGTCTGAACATGGTTCTGAGTTTTTCTGAATTTTTGAGAGTGCTGAATATTTCCTCAGTAAAGTGTGCATGTGAAAGAATCTATGGGAAGAGTTTTCTATCCTTGGTCTGAGCAGGAACTTTGCAAACACACTTCTTGACTCAAAGAGGACACAGTGTCATTTGTCATAGAAAATCAAAGTAGAGGCAGCATCTGAATTACTATGACTATTTAGTTTTATTAATATCCATGGAAAGTTCTCAACCTTCTTTGAATTGGAGATTCATTAGAAAAAAAATTACTGATGTTTTTCCCTTTATTTATTTATTTAGGCCATACAGTTCTAATACTAGAGCAATTGTGGTCATTTCCAGAATTTCCAGCCAGCAGTCCTTAAGATCCGATCATCAAACACGTGTCCGGAAGGCATGTGTATGTTGGTCTCTCAGTCATGTCCAACTCTTAGCAATTCCATGGACTGTAGCCCTCCCGGCTCCTCTGTCCACGGGATTTCCCAGAGAAGACAGAGGAGTGGGCAGCCATTCCCTTCTCCAAGGGGATCGTCCCAGCCCAGGGATCGAACCCATGTCTCCTGCATTGCAGGTGGATTCTTCACCATCTGAGCCACCAGGGAAACAGTGGCAAGTGGATCAAGTTAAACCCTATTATTTGTGCTTTACGAGTACACACCTTTTGGAAAAGGAAAAGGGAGAGTGACCCATAAAACCTCACTAGAAATGGTTAACAATCTGAACCAGATGTGCACCCTGAAGAGAATATTTTCAGTTACCTGGTGATCTAGGGAACATTCTCCCATTGGCCACCAACACATCCTACCCTCCGGGTAATTGCTTTATATTCTGACTTACAACCAAAGACAGCCTGAAGCAATTGGGGATGCTTAGCTTTGAAACCTTCTTAAAATCCTCCCTAGGGTTAAGAAAGTAGGACAAGGTAAAAAAAAAAATAAAATAAAAAATAAAAAGCAGAACATGAATGTTTTATAACAAGAACTAAACCGAAAGAGAGGCAGAGCAGAGGATGGACACAGAGAGCTGTGATGAAGCAATCACCGTTTGATTTTTTCTTAAGCCCTTTGGCTCATTTCCAAATAATCCAAGTGGGTGGACATGATTGCCTGAAACTCTGTTCTCCTGACTTTTCACTCTATTTCTTTAAAACTGGTTGTTAGGCAACAGGCTCTTCAGCAGACTGGCTTGACATTTGATCACCAAACTAGACATTCACCTGTAATATTTCCTGTTTAGTTTTATTTCAGGCAATCGGAATCGAGGAAGGGAAGGTTTCGTTAAGGCAAATACCAGACAACGTAGACATTCTTGCCGAAAGTTAAGTGAGAGATAAAAAGAAGGAAGTAGGATCTGATTATTCTATAAAGTGCATTTTATATAGATGCCTTTG